AAAAAAAAAAACTTGTGCTGGAATTGTACAAAGGTTGATTTGTAGATTTAGATAAATTGGTAATATTGTTAATGAATTCAAGTTTAAGAATTCATAGAACCCTGTAATCTCATTTTTGATCTCAAGTCTTAATCTTAGTTTGATAACTTTTCATGCTTATATGTTATGTTTATAATATAATCTTATAATTAGATTTATGGTCAGACTTTCAAAATTTCCATGTGTTTGTTTGAAGTAAGGCTAGTCATGTTATAATGAGCATCTGGCATCTGCCTTCATACAGGATTTTGTTTGTCTAGAATAGTTTTCATGGTAAATCTATATTGTAGATTTCAATCATTAGCTAATCACTGTTTGACCAGTAAGCAGAATCCCCATCCGGGTACTCCTCTGCCTAGACTTGAGGTTGCCACTCCCTAAAGGTAAGTGCTAGAGTACCCTCTGATAATATCCTAAAATACAGCACACTAACAATCATTTCATTTCCTTTCTGCTTTTTCATGAACTAAGAGAAGACTTCTGGTGCTGTCCTTTGAAAACTATAATCCTTGTCCAGTTTGTGATCATGGTATCTCCCCTGCCAGGTAAGTATTCCAGTTGGGAACACTCCAGTTAATTAGGGATTTAAAAACCCTGCCAACAAAAAATACTGTCTTGCTTGTACGTGGATTGATCCAAAAGCAGTATTTTAACCTATCCTCTGATGCAGTTTTTCTATACTATTTTCCTAGGGTACATGGAAACTTTAAAAAAATACATGCTGGCTACAAGATTTATCATTCAATTTCAGAACTTTATACTGAGCTCTCAGCAATGAATCTGGGAATGACCAAGAACTTACATATTAATTGAAAATCATTTAAAAAAATTTTAAGAGGGGCCAAGGAGATAGCTCAGTAGAATAAGCATTTGCCTGGCAAGTGCAAGGCCTGAGTTCAATCCCCAGTTCTGCCAAAAAAAAGTGAGAATAGAAATAAAATGGTATATGAAATCAAACAGAGTTTCAAAACAGGTTAATAGAAGAGCTACAGTAATTAATATATTGTGTATTGTTCTCTTGATCATAATTATTCAGAGAAGATATAGGCATGAAAAGTTGTCCAAACAATATTATCACAAACCTTTCTTTCCACTGCACTAAGAGAAACCAGTTGTATAACTATCTTGTGTACATATGTTTCCTCTTCCTGTTTCCCCCTATATAAATGACTATAGTGTTTACCATTTTTTTGAACACTTCCTTCCCAATTCTCAGTGTCTGTTATATGGTTTGGATCTTATTTACTCACACAGTTTCTCATACTAGTGAGACAATATAATGTTTATATA